TGTTATGGCGACCGTGCTTATCACACAGCTGCTGTCAATTATACGTTGAAGAAGACACTCCCAGATGATGACGTGTAAATGCATCCACCATTAACTTCATGAAAGAAGAAGAAAAACGGGCCGTGCAACTTTTACAAAGTTGTCGCGTCAATTCGAAGACAATTTGACCATGTTGGAGACCGTAATGGCAGGGGACGACGGGTATTTTAACGGCGGATACTAATGTACCGCCTGTAACGCTGTACTTCGATCAGAATCACGAGTAGCTACAGTGATCATGAGAAGAGGAATCGGTCAGCTGAAACGGGCTGATATATGTTTCCGAACTACTCAGACTAGTTGGAGAGATAGTTTTACTACAAAGAGAATATGTCCAGTTTTATTCAAACTGCCACTTTTTGCTAGCGCTTAACTGTCCAATTGTCTAACTCTTTGTCAGCCGTGATAGGTGACCGACGATCTTAAACCAAATTCAGATCTTTTCTGCCTCTACCAACTGACGTTGAATAAGTACATGTTGTTGATTTGTATAATAGATAAAACCAGAACAACGCGTTTATTTTGATTAACGGTCAAAACAGACCTAGACAATTAATTAGGCAGTGTTCATTGCAATGTGAGTTACCTTCTTCACAAATAGTTCTACCTCAAAAAGTTAACGAAGTATGTCATGTACTAGAGCAGATGTCATCCTTGGTTTCTTTCTTACCTGGTTGAACCTTGAACCAGGTGAGCTGAACATTTCTGCAGAAAGGCAATACTTTCGAACTGTACATAAGCCACTAAAGCAGGTTTTCAAGAAGTCATAATTCTTTCGTTAATATAGCCAGTGAAGCTAGATGATTCATTACTAGTCAACCTTCAACAAAGATATATCTAAGAAAAAACTGCAAATACAAACCTACTTACAACGATTACACACCATTAAAGTATTATTGCAGACTTCGATTATGTTTCATAGTCTACTACCTTATATACAAAATGATGTGACGCACAACCAACCAGGGTATAAATGAACAGAAGATAAGTATGCATTTAAAGCAATTTCGGTTCGATCAAGTTTTAAATGTTTTAAAGTAAGACTGAAATTAAAAATGTACCTGAACGGACATGAAGCTCTGACTTTTATCCGTCATTTCAGCCGCTTTTTCAGACAAACTCGTGAGCATAAAGTCGTACCAAACGTGAAAATTAGACCTAAAGAGCAAATATAAAATACAATAAGTAACATAAAAATGAAATCGACTGGCTTGTTTAGTGATTTGAATTTCTCTGAAATGAATGCTCCAGTCTTGACCACATCTTCGAGAGAAGAGGAAATAATCTCCTCAAGACAGGTATGAAACTCACTAGTTGAAAATTTCACATACGTTCTAAAATGGTGCAGGTAACAGTAACGACCACGACTAGAAAGAAAGGTCCATCAATACCTCAGCACCTCCGTTGTTAGCCTAGAGCATTCAGAAGGCTTTTCGTTTGCCGAATCCCATTTTCGTTCCAAAATCGATTTTGCAAGCTTGGCTATAGAACACACAAGAGAGGTTCATAAATAGCAGCGATCATGAAGATTAGTCGGATTCGTAACTAGCACAGTACCATACTTAGTAAAAAACGTCAAACGCATAAATCAACCTTTACGCATCGTTACACTTTTAAATTTATTCTGTTGTATTTGCATAAGCATTGAGTCTATCCATGAGATACGTCCATATATGTATATCCCTAAACATGTGTAAAAATATACGTACTTGTTCGTGCATAATTAGTCTCATTTATCGTTTACGTACTGTGTCGATATTTAGTCAGCAGTCAGGTAAGTCAGGACAAATCACAGATGTAATGCGTGCAGCAGCAGCAGCATGACCCTTAGTATATGTTGTAGCATGAAGACGTTCGAACACAACGTTGTCCATATCGTTCGCAAATTAACGAGTTAGTACCAGGGTCGATGTATCCCGCAACACAGCGGGGTGAATTACTGACTCAAGAGTACAATCAGTAAATAAAACAACAGAAATTTTAGGATTTCCTTAACTTTAATGAATACGTTAAATACGTAAATGTCTATCATTAACAAATTTAAATTTCTCTGAATGACAACGGTAACCAAAGTGCACATCATATCTTACTTAGACTCAATATTTAGAAATGCAATAGGCATCTGGTGGATTAGATCATGACTTCAAAGTCAACATTTCTGTCAAAAAATATTAACCATCATTCGGTAATATAGCTTTTTGCCGATGAAGGATAAAACTGAACAGCTGAAAATATTACTCTAAAAACAAAATTAAGCTCTCGGTCATTTAGCAGTCATATAAAACGGAATTGCAGCAACTCGTTATAAAGAGACAACGCAAATATCAACAGAAATGTTCGAAATCATCTACCTATATATTTTGAGGAGCCATCAAACTTTAGAAGCTGTTCGAAAAGACTTAGTAGCGAACAAGAAAATGTTAGCGAAGGACTGAATTGTTCGAACGGCAACAGATAGGTGAAGATAGCTGACCTGAAACTAACGTGATAATCAGGCAAAAATCAGCGCATACAACTGTAAAGTGGGCTTCACCCATCGTTGTCGTCTGCTATTACGTTTGCGCTGCAGTACGAATACAAGATCGTATAAATGGTCACCTCCTGATCACGCCCGCTGCTAAAACAAACGATGATGCGGATTTATGATAAATGTTCAAGAAACTTCCATTATACCACTTTAAAGCAAACGTTATGCAATCGAAGATGGTTTTCGCGCAGACAAACGAGCGCGATAAGGAATCATCTTCAACATCAAACCGCTTTTCGTCAGACGACAAAGTGTTCTAGAAGCAGATATGAGTATTTAAAGAACAATTCACAGAGGCTACAAATGGCTTACTATAAAATAAGACTTGAAATCTGCCAAATAATTGAGGAGGTTATGTACTACGTCCTTCAGCATAAGCAGGAAATCGCTTTGGTCGATTCTGTTAAAGTTGTCAAAGCAGCTATCCTTCGCCTTCGCCTTAAACGCAGTTACATTTAAATTTTGAAATTCGTATAACGAGATTCAATGTTACAGTTCTTAAGTGACACATACGTCTTTGACCATTAAGGGCTTTGTGCTCCAGCTTCATCTTCAGATCAGACAACAGAAATTGCAACGATGGTAATCGTAGTGCTTCCGCAGATGATTCCTGTAACATAGACAATCACAGAGAAGAAGAATAATAATAAGACAGAGGTAAGTAAATGCAAATGATTTTGACCACAATCAACCTACCCATGAAATGATGTTATAACGAAACCGCTGAAATAAAATGCAAAGATTTGAGACCACTGGTTGTCACCTGAAAAAGGCCATAACGGTTGTAATCTTATGACCGCTGTAACCGCTATGAACACTTGTGGTACTCTCATGTATACAGTCTACTATAAAACCGGTCAAAACGTGCTTTTCATTTCAGTCTACTTCGTGAAAGTATCGTATGTTCTAAGAAGAGCGAACAGTCAACGCAACTAAGCAAACGAGAAAATGAAATCAGGTAGAACGTATACACAGGAGTTGCTAAAGTAGC